AATATTATTTTATTACCTCGAATAGTGCGGATAATCGGTCTTGAACTGTTTGAAACCGGACTAAAAGAGGACTTTATAATAGCATAAATTTAAACAGTACAAAAAGACGTAATAAAATTTACAACAAATTATGCATTATTAGATTATAAGAATATTAGATTTAAATATTATTTTATTACCTCGAATAGTGCGGATAATCGGTCTTGGACTGTTTGAAACCGGACTAAAGAAGGACTTTATAATAGCATATATTTAAACAGTACACAAAGACATAATAAAATTTACAACAAATTATTTATTATTAGATTATAAGAATATTAAATTTAAATATTATATCATTACCACGAATAGTGCGGTTAATCGGTCCTGGACTGGACTGTTTGAAACTGGACTAAGAGACTTGTGTTTCTAAAATAACCGTACTATAGTGAATCCGCACTATGCGAGGTATTCGCACTGTACTTGATTATAATAGTAACTTTATTTATCTTGTTTAATTTTTATTTTCCAAATTTAATCTCATATTTAATTGATTTTCATTAACATCATTATCGTTATATTAATTTTCATATTTGTTGTTGAAATATCTTCTTTGCAGATTAGACATAAATCTGCATAAATCGATGAGTCACATATTCTGAAAGTTTGCATAGTAGTACTTTATAATTTTAAAGAAAGAATATTGAAACAATACAAATCAATCATTTCTGTCAATAACCCGGACTGTTTGAAGCCGGACTAAACGAGGACTTTAAAAATGTATAAAATTAAACAGCACAAAAACGGACTTATGTACTAATTTTCTAAAATAACCGTACTATAGTGAATCCGCACTATCCGAGATATTGCTGTACTTCATTATATTAGTACATTTCGTTAGTTTTTGTTTAGTTTTTTCTCTTAGTTTCATCTCATATTTAATTGATTTCTATTAACATCATTTAATTAGTAAAATTAATAATGCATGCTTGAAACAATTAGATCAAATTTAAATTTTCATATTTTTTGTTGAAATGTCTTGTTTGTAGATGCGTAAGTCGACAAGTTACAAATTCTTAAAATTTGCATAGTAGTTTCATATCAATTTGATAAGATTTTACACTTTTAAAAAAGGTATATTGTATCAATAACTCGCATAGTACGAATAATAATTTCACAAAAACAGATTTATATACTAATTTTATAAAATAACCGTACTATAGAGAATCCTCACTAATCATATCCGAACTATGCTCTAATTAGTTTTTTTTATTTTTTTTCCTCTTCGTTTAATCCTATTTTTAATTGATTTTTATTAACATCATTATAGTTAATTTAATTAGAAAAGTTCATTTTTAATCCAAGCTGAAACAATTATAGAAATAATTAGTTTTTTATGTTAATTTTTGTTGAACTATCGTCTTTTTAAATTAATACATAAAATTGGATAAAAGTCATGAATCGATAATACTTTATAATTTTAAAGAATATAAATTGAAGATTAAGATTTTTTTTTTGATAATATTGGAGATTATCTAATGAAATGTGATATCATAATACAGTCAATGATTTTATTAATTCTTGTTATATATGCTTATATTGATCACAGCTTACTCTTGTTCGAGTTTTTAATTGGAATTGCATACAAATAAAATATCACAACAATTCGCATCGTCCGTTGAGAGCCGGAAATTAATATTTTCGTTTGGCCGGACGGAATTTCCCCCCAGTCCCCAATTACGGACCACTTTAAATATTTTACTGTTCATCCGAATTCGTTTCAATTTACGCCATATAAAATTACAAATATATATATATATATAAAATGAAATAATAATGCCAATAAACGAAAGCTCACAAAATAGAAAATAAACAGTTTACGCGCACATCGAAACCATCGGAACTCTTTACTAATTCAAAACCCTTTTTTAATAAATTAAACTTTGCCTCGCAGTTTGGAAATTTCATCGGCAAATAATAAAAGTTAATTGTCCGGGTTTGTGAATTTTGCATGCGGAGCTTTTTCTTGTTGCGCTCGATGAAGAAGAAGAAAGACGTAATCTTCGGTCACTATGAATTATGCAATGTCATCCATGTGGACCATTCGGGGCGAAGACATTATTAATAATCGTAATTTATGTAATGCAAAAGAAACGCAAGACTCGGCAATGGAGTAATTTAATAAGTGCACGTAAGGGTAATAAATTATAATTTTACGATGCGAAATTAGCATTTCAAATCGTAGAGTGAGTGAGAGAGAGAGTAGAGGCTTTTATTTATTTACTCGTCTTTTTGCTCATTTCGTCGGAGATGGCATACATTTTTGGTTTCGCTACAAGAAAGGCGCTTTTTGTTGTTTGCTGTTGCTGCTTCTGATTCTGCTGCTGCTGATGATGATGGTCCGCTCTTTGTTGCTGATGCAGCATCTCCGTTCTCTTTATAAGCGAAACGGGTTTTATTAAAACCGTATCACGTCTTAATAAACATGGAATTGATGATTTGACGCGAGCTGAATATCGTGCAAAAATCATTTTCCTCGCAGACAATAATATACATAGCCTCATCTCCTTTTCCTTTTGGACGACGATGGAAAGCTCCTCGGATGCTGCTTCTCTTCTCATCTCTTCTCTTTTTTTAGTTATTTTCGTAGTCCGGATTCGCCTCTTTTAGGTATGCCTCTCTTTTTATACCTTTTTGTTATATGGCAAAGGCCAGGTAGCTTCTTGTGTGGCGGCCCTTTCATGCATTAGCGCTTAATAGAATGCGAGAGGCATCCTCTAGTTTTACTCAATGGAATTTTCAAAGTCCTTTTTCGTCGTTTTCTTTTCCTCTCCTGCCTTTTCCCATCTTCATAGTTTTTTTTCTCTCTTTATCTCTCTCTCTTTGCATCCCTTTCGTCCGTGATGCGCGACAAAGAGGATGACTCCGGACTTTTTAAGTGTTAAATTTTTCTGCTTAATTGTCGTGTCCCGATTTTAATTCGCGCGCGGCGCGTCCGAACTAGTAAAAGAAACCGGAACGACGGCGTTCGCGTTTGAATTGCAAATTGCCAGTCTCCTGAAGCGGCTAATTGATAAATAATTTTAAAAGATTCACTTTATTGCACTCAACTCCAGTCGGAAATCCTTTCATTACATTAGAAACAAAATTAGATTTATTTACAAGTTCAGACACTTAAAAATAGATTTAAATTGACTACGTAAACCAGCTAATATAACATTTTATATTTAAAAAATCATTATTTATGGCAGATTTGAAAAATTACTATTTTCATTTATTTATAAATTTTACAAAATTTTCAAGTTTCGTGTATTTTCTCTTATCATTGTCATTCAAACATGATTGTGACTCACGTAAAAGTTTACTTTACATTTCAATGAAATAGATTTGTAAATTTTAATAGAGATAAAAAATTATAAACAATATTCAAATTTTATAAACAGTTAAAATTCAGTAATAAAAAGAAACCAACCACGAAGAATTTGGGTCATGAAGATTACAAGTCATAAGACCCTAAATTTGATACTTTAATAAGATTATCTGAGGATATGAAAAAGAAAGAACACATTTTGGTTAAAAAAATAACCCAGCAAAGAAATTGCCGCATGTGAACGAACTATGAAATTAAAATGCAAATATATTTAAATAATTAGCTGTTACGTAATTAGTTGATAATATTGTCGAAATTGTGTGAAAATGGCTGGGAATTTCAAGGTGTTAATTTATAATGGAATCGTTTTTTTTTTTCTATTTTTCGAGGTGAAAAGCTAATAAAAGCTGCAGTAATTAATAATTAATTGTGCTCACTTTATGTTATAAATGAGCTGGAAATGAAAAAGTTCTAGTGGTGAAATATTAATTGAATAATGGAATTTTAAATATAATTGCTTCAGGCTTTTTTTTCAATATTTTTTTTCTTGTTAATATGAATGATGTTTTATATATAAGTTGATTTTTTATGAATAATGATAAGTTTTTGAAATTATATTTAATTTTGGTTAATTTTATTTATAAAATTGCGGTTGAAAATTTATTATGTAAGCGAATAAATATTTATTGTTATAAAAAAAATGATTTCAAAGAATAATTAATTTTAGTATATAAAAATGTTGCAAGATGTTAATTATTAATTGAATTTTTATAAGGTAAAAAGCTAATGAAAGCAAAAGGTATAAATAATTTATTTATACTTACTTTGTATTATTATATAAGCTGAAAATGGAATAATTTTATTTGGGAGCAAAGAAATAGTCGTGTATTAATTATTTATAATGTTTATCTTTTTATTTATTTAAGTTTTTTTTTCAATAAATTTATATATACATATGAACAGTCTTTTTATTCACTTATACTTAAATAATGTAGTTATTTATATATGTATATAATAATTAAGTTCAATCGTTTTCATATTTAATTTAAAATTTTCGATATATTTACACAATACTTAAGAAATAGTGACTAATAAGCGTGCGATTCTCATCGCATTAATATGAATTACAATACTTTAAATCGGAGATTACAGTTATGGTAATAATAATAAATAGTATTTACAGGTACGAATATTTACAAACATGTGTACGTATCGTATAATGGGAGCGAGTATTATTATTATTTGCTTTTTCTTAGTTATAAATATATAGGGGATCAACTAAAATTAAAAACAGCCTTTGAATAATCGTTTTTTTTTTTGGGAATTAAACGAAGTACGTTCGCGATTGGGGCGGTTGCGAGTCGGGAATGGTGGAGTAGAGGTGATGGGGTTCACGGCACGGAGGTATTTGAGTGTACTGCGGGGGTCTACCGTCGATGGAGACGTAACTGTGGTTCAGCTGCTCGGAACCTCCGTAGTGTTGACTGCTTGCGCTGGAACCGGCTTCGTCTTCGGTGCTTCTTGCAGATTCTCCACTCACGTAAGTGCTCTGAGTGGGCGTCGGGGTGAGAGCGGAATGGACTCCTGGCATTGTCGCATACTTATACCAAACTTCTGGGGCCGTGGGAGCGGCCGTGTATCTGGCGCTCGTCTTGCAGCGGATATCCGCCGCAGGTTTCTTCGCGCTCCTCCTTACTGAACGCATGTTGATATCGGGCATGGCGAAACGGAGCTTCTCCCAGAAGCGACGTTCACCCCACCTGGTCACAGTGCACGCACGCAAAAGGTCCCTCAGCTCCGGATCCATCGGCTCCAGAGGATCGCCGTGCAAAACGCAAACTAGTTTTTGTCCGGTGCGAAGGGCCGCTTGTAAAGCCGCTCGGAAATCGGGACGAGCCCACTCGTTGTTCAGAAGACCTGGAGACACTATGAAGATGACCCTTCGCGAAGCATCCGCCGCTCCAACCATGGCATCGGCGAGATAAGAAGCGCCGCCCATGAGGTGAAGATCCCTGTAGTGGAGACACATCGAGTACCCGGATTGTTCCAATTCGGGGGCGATAATTCTGGCGGCGAGGTCCTCGTCTTTGTGGCTGTAAACCACGTAGCAATCGTACAAGCGATCATCGGCTTCGGAAGCGGAGGAATCGTGGAATAAACGGATTCCGTACTTGGAGTGCGCCCACAATCGCACGTCTTGTCTGAAGACGAACGCCACGGCGATGATTAAACAAATGACGATGATAGCGACGAGGGTTGCGGCGAGTAAAGGAATGTAAGTGCCTCCGAGCAGAGGGTTGTTCTTGAAGACGTCGCGTTGGATCACGGAGGTGGCAACAGCGTTCACCGTGTTTCCGCACCGCCTGATTACATCGGACAAAGTTTCAGTCCCACGATTTTCCGAGCAGAACATCTTCGATGGATCTCCTCCCGTTTCCCTCAGCCAAACCTCGAGACGGGCCAACGAGCTGCATTCGCACGACCACTTGTTGCCTTCCAAGGAGACGCGCGGCGTCGTGTCTGTGTGCGACGCCAGCTGCTGCCACGGCGTGAAGTCCACGATCCGGTTCTCATCCAATTTGAGCACCTCCAACTTTCTCAGCTTTCCGAAGGTGTTGTTGCCGACGTACGCGATCTTGTTGTGGTCCAGATATAGTTCGCTGAGTCGCTCCAGTTGATCGAACTCGAAACCGCGCAGCTCCTCCAATTTATTGTTCTCCATGTGCAGGACTTTGAGTGATTTAACGCCGTTGAACGTCCTATTATGTACGGCCGCGATGTTGCTGTTGTTCAGGAACAGAACCTCCAGTTTTTTCTTGCCGATGAATACGTGACTGCCGAGCTCGCCTAAGTTATTGCCGTCCAGGTAAATTTCAGTCGCGTCCATCGGTATTTTCTCGGGCAATTCGGTGTAGCCGGCATTGCTACAGTCGACCACGTTCGAGGACCACGTGTGGTCGTGGTAGCAGCTGCAGTTATTGGGACAGGTCATCTCGCAATCGCAAGCGTTGAAGTCGCAGCAATGGCAAACGGCGAAACAATGAGACTCGTACGGACACAGGAATTGGCTCGGCTTTAAATCGAGCAGAGGTTGAGGCGGCGATCCTCTTGAGTGCGCCAGCTCGCAGGTCACGCTATCCAGATCCAACACTTGCGGGTACTGCCTCAATGAACTCATGTGATTGATCCTCAACAACCATTCCATCTTGCAGTCGCAGTAAAACGGATTCCCGGCGATGTAGAATTGCGGCAAGTCTCGATCATCGGATACAGGGGAAATACTAAGAGCGGCAACGTCCAGATATTTAATATCGTTCCCATAGAGCACGACTTTCTCCAAATGCAATTTATTCTGAAACGCGTTCGGCTGCACCAAATTTATGCGGTTATTGTTCAAGAACAGCGTCTCCACGCTATCCGGCACGGAATCCTCGGTGATTTTCTCAATCAAATTGAAACTAACGTCGAGCATCTTGATCTTCAGCGTGCTACGAACATCGTAGAAATTTCCCAGATCCGTGATCCGGTTGTTGTGCATATCAAGCCACGTCAAATTCGTAGGTAAATGACTAAAATCGAAATGAATCAAACTGTTCGAAGAGACGTTCAACCAAATGAGGCTGTGGAGATTGGTGAAGACGCCGCTAATATCAGAAAGTTCATTCGCATCCAAACGAACTGCTTTCAATGTAGGATTACTTGCAAATGCGCTTTGTTCCACGTATTTTATCCTATTCGACGCCAAATTCAGGACTTGGAGAGAAGGCAGCGTGGAGAAGGCGTCGCGCGATACATTCACGATATGATTGTCGACGAGCCGAAGTCCGTACAGCAGATCGAGCCCTTCGAACGATGAATTATGCACGGATTCGATGTGGTTGTTACCCAAATCCAAAGACTTCAAGAACCTCAATTTACCGAGTCCGTCGGGTATGCCACCAAGAGAGTTTCCATTCAAACCAAGGTCCTGTAGATTAGTCACGTTCTCGAAGGCCAGAGGGTGGATGTATTCGATCTCGTTGGCGTCCAGTAGAAGTTCATGCAGGGCAAACATTCCGGTGAAGAATTGCGACTCGATCTGTTTAATCATGTTGTGAGAGAGGGTGAGGGCGTGCAGATTCTTCAACTCAGTAAAGGCACCCTCCGCGATGAAATCAATATTGTTGTGTTCGAGGCTCAGGACCTGCAGGGTGTACAGATCGTGGAATATGTTTGAATCGATACGCGTCAATTGATTGTGAGCCAGATTGAGGATGACTAAACGAACAAGGCCGGAAAACGTGTCCCTGTTAACCCAACGTGTCGAAAGTTCGTTGCGTGAAAGATCGAGCACTTGTAATTGATCCAATCCTTCGAGAAGTCCCGGCGCTAAGACGCTGAGAGAGTTGTTCTGCAGGTAAAGGTGACGAAGATCCCTCGATGAAACAAACAGTTCTGGAGGAAGAGCCACCAAACAGTTGCTCGATATGTTTAGAGATTGCAATGCGACTAATCCAACGAAAGCGCGGTCTCCTATCGTGGAGATCGCGTTGTCTTGTAAATGCAGCACCTCCAAAGATCGCATTCCACTTAAAGAGTTATCGGGCAAGGCGATGATCTCGTTATCGGAGAGGTCGAGCACTTCGAAGCGGCTGACACAAGCAAGGCCCGGAGCCAAAGGACCTTTTCCCCAATCCGAGAATCCCAAACTCGTGATGTCCTGCAGCTTGTTCTTCGTCAAATTAACTTTCGTTAAACTGTAGAACGGGCAGAAGAGATCCGCGGGCAAATTCCAAATGTTGTTGTCCCCGAGATCGAGCGTTCGCAGCTCAACCATTCCTCTGAAACTCTCCGGATGCAGTTCGAGCGTCATCGCAGACCAATCAGAGTTGTGCGATCGCAGCGAGAATCTCTTCAGGTGCCTGAGGGGCGTCAGGACCATCGCCGGAACGTTTCTAATCTTGCAATACTCCACCCTCAAATCCTTCAAATTGCGTAGCTTTGATAGGAATTCCGGTTTCGATTCTAGTGTGCTTTCGTAGAAGAGGACATCGTTGCACTCCAATTTCAATGCGGTAACGAGGTCCGCTTGGCTCTGGGTCAAACTCGAGAGGAGAGTATCGGCTCCGTTGATGGTTCTCAATTGGCACGAGAGCACCGGTTCCTCCACCAAATCATTATCGAAAACGGGTTGCATTTGCCATTCGCATCCTTTCGGAGGCTCTTCAATACTCTTCAGATATCTACCACTCACCACCGTCGTCACGCAGATCGCGAACAATAATACTTTCTCCATTGTCTCTAACGCATTTAAACTAAATATTCCCAAATACAATTTATCAAACTGGAACACTAGTCAACGAACGCGAACTAAAGTCTTTGCCGTTAACACATCACTAAAACACTTAACGTTTATTTTTTAAACTAACGCGTGTTCTTGGGTGCGCGCTTTTCTTTCTTTAGTGATGTACACGTCTGCACCAAACGACTGCCAGTGCGGAACTGTCGAACTGTGTGTGTGTCTTCAGGCTCTGGTATATTTCGTACGCGCTCCGGCGGGAGTTCCTACCACAACTGGCTCCGCCTTCCAACCAACCCCTACCATCATCCAAAACCAGGCGCCCAGCTCCAAAAAGAACACGACCACACGTAACAACAAAATAATATTCGCGTTAATTAAACGATCCATCATCCGATTAATTACTAAGATGATAGTTAGAAGAAAAAATGAAATAAAATAACAAAGAAGTGTCCATTAAATTAATTGAACAATAACTCCATCTCGAGTATTTAATTGCTTTTGAAAAATTAAAGTCCGGTCTTTCAATTGAAGAACAATTAGTTGTTTAACTGTTTGATTAATTCCGAAAGTGGATAACGGTACGTGAGGATTTTACTTAACTTCGCGTTCCGTCAAAATAAAAAATCACAGAACAAATAATGTGGATTGCTCAATTCTGAATACTAACTTCAATTAAGATTAATTAAGCCCTATTTGATTCCAGCTAATATTTACATTCATTAAACGCACAGCCTCATCGCTATAAAGTACAAATATTTGACAATATCATATAATCAACGTTTAAAGCAATACAGATATCAAATAATTTTAACACAAATATTATTAATTTTTTATAATAAAATTCAATGATAAATAACTAAACTGTTATATTTCTTACATTTAAAACTTACTTAATTACAGAAAAAATATAAATTAAACCAAATAATTTTTCTATTAGGATTGAAATTGTTAAATTTTTCACTTTTAATTTAAAAACAATATTTTAGATTTTTCCAATATTTGTCCATAATTAAATTATTTTTTTAAATATAATATTTGAATAATTAATGTAAAATTTTGTCACTTTTTTAATGAAATTTCTATAACTAGTTGAAAGTATTTGAAGTATTGAAGGAAATACGATTTATTATCAATGTTTATTTTTATAGAAGATATAAGTTTTCTCACAAAAATAAACATTGATAAAAATAAAGAAAAGATGCTTTCTTATTCATGAAAAAAATTATTTAATAATCATGTATTTTCTCCAAAAATCAAAAGTAACAAATAAATTTTAGTGTCAAAAATATCAAAATTCGTTAATATTTTAATTTTTTTTCATTGTATTTTTTTTAAGTAAGAATTCAATAATGTTTAGAGAAGAAAAAAACATACAGATGATTTTATAAATATTTAATCAGTTATAATTGAATGGACGGCATTCCGTTATGTTAATGTGATTGAATTTGATAAATTTATTAGACTCGCGGTGGTTCGAAATGAACGCCGGTCCCGAAGAAACTTGTAATACGAATTGAGCCCAGTGAAAGTTAAAATGCAATTAAGGTAATTTATTGTTGCGTAAGAGGCAATTTACTTATTTATTTACTGCTCCTCAAAAGCCTTATGAAAAGTCGAATCAATTTTATACGTAATTTGTTTATTGACGAAATAATAAAATCGTGTCCTTTCTATCAAATTAATTCGTTTTAATATGTTTATTTTATAGAAAATTTTGTATAAAAAAAATCAATATTTATTATATAGAAATTTATTGAAAAAATCATCGTTTATTGATGAATTTTTATATGAATAATTTTGTAAAATAATCAACGTTTTTTTTTGTAAAAAAATCTTCATTTACTATGTAAAAAATCGTCGGTTACTGTGTAGAAAATTTCAAGTTACTTTGCTAGCGAATCATCCATTACTGTGAAGAAATTTATAACTTTTTTTATAAAAAAAATAACGTTTATCATTAAAATTGTTAAAAATCGTCAAAAATTTATTGTAGAAAATAATAATTTTCTTTGAAAAAAAAAATAACGTTTTCTTTCCTAAAAAAAATCATAGTTTAATATAATTTACTATGAACAAACATCAATATTTACTTTGAAGAAATTGAATGATTATTTTGTTAAAAAATCATACAATAAGTCAATATTCACATATTTGGTAAAAAATACTTAATAATTTACTTAAAAATCATCATTGCTGTGTAGAGAACCACAATTTTCTTAAAAATTTCTGATAGATTTTGAAAAAGAAAAATCATCAAAATAATGTTAAGAAATTCATAATTTTCTGTATAAAAAATTGTCGCATAGAAATTTCATTGTTTCATTAAGAAATTATTGTTTACTACTTTCAAAACAAATAATGTTTTTCAATGTAGAATTTCATCATTTATTTTGTAGGTAAATTTAAAGCTGACTTTGTTTTGCTGTTTAGAAATTCACAGTTTTCCTTTATAGACAATTCATTGTTTACTGTGGTGAGATCGAAGAGGAAACGAAAACTTTCTAGTTTTTGGTAAATTCTAAGGGTATGTGGACCATAAATTACAAGCATTTTGACTGCATGTTGGTGCAATATAAGCTATTCATCTTTGAACTAATGAAAGCTAATGGGGGTCCTTTGGTAGGGCAGATTCAAAAGGAAGAAGCAACCGCAGATGCGCAACCAACCACCGGCGGTTCTTTCCGAAGAACGTTGACTTTTACTTTGCGGCCACAAGGAATCAATAAAACGGTTTGATTTATTGAAGGTGCGGTAAACTGCAGAGAGGAAGAAGGAAAAAAAGGTGCAACCAAAATATGACCAATATAAAATTGGTTACGCTAAAATGCGACAACAGTGAGGAAGAATCTTCTCAAATAGTCTTTTTCCAAGGACTCATCCCTTGTCAATCACATTTTCGAGCTTCACACTTGATCATCGCAAACATTAGCCACAGATTTGTGGCAACGATTTATTTCTTTATTACGAGCAATTCGTTCTTCTCTCTATAAACTGGTTAGAAATACCACCAATTTTATTACCATCATACCAACAAATGCTTCTTGTTGCATGGTTTTAATTATAGCGTGAATCTTCTAACAGTTAGAAGAATTTAACTAATTTCTTTAGAAACTTAACATGTGAGAATACAGAAGAGATCAGTTACTTCGGTTTAAAACGTGCGCATTACAGCTTCCTCAAACTAAATTCACACGCAAAGATTATATTCCTTATGTAAACATAAGAAATCTCCTAAGGTCACAAGGGATTACCCCAAATACAAACCACTAATCCTAAATCCGTTAACAAAGGAATCGCCGCACAAAAGGTGTACATTAATAACTTGACTCAATTGATTATTTAATAGTTCAATCAAAGCCAATTACAGATTAATAACTTCAATTTAGAAATATTATGCTGCTTCAATTATTAGCATCTAGAATATACACTAAGTGATAGTAGATTCCTTGTGAAGATTTACATGCAACTTTAAATCTATACCTTGGATTTGCATAATACCAAACTTCAAACCCTTGAGGCAAATGATCCCTTCTAAACAAGACTAGCCCTTCACAAAGGAGCAATATCATATTATGCAAATGAGAATAAACAAAGGATTATGTAGGGGTGAAAGTATTTATGTATGTACCTGGGTTATGTAATGACTCATATATTTAAGAAATATTTCCTACGTTATTAATTTCAAGAAATTTCAATAATTCTTATAACTAATTTTATATGACTTGAGAATTAAATTTGAATTTTTTTTTCATTCTTCAAGTGATTAATATTATTTTAATTGTGATTGTGATTAAGAATGAGCCATGAATTTAATTATTCGCTCATATTTCAAGTGGTGACGTGTTTATGATAATTAATTGAGATTTTAATCAGCTGACATACAAGCATTTTGCGTTCTCTAAGTGCATTTCGGCGCCCTCTTTTAGGAAATTAGGTAACTACGCGTAGGACCCTTTGATCCCTTCTATAATGTTTTTTCAGGTAAAGAATTCTTCAATTTCTAAGTAAATTCTTTAGTGGTACACAAATCAATACAAAAAAATAAACTTTTCAAAATTAAAATTAAAATATGAAATTTAATCTGTAAAATTGAAATAAAGTTATCTTCATTTTTCTGTAGTTTTTAATATTAAAACATGAGTTACTATTTTTATGGTAGAAAAATATACAAATATTTCAATTTCACGTTAAAATCTAAAATTATTGTGTTTTTTTTTTAAGAATGTGACTTAAATCTTATTATACTTATGATTTTCTATTTGATTTGGTTGTAAATAATTGGTTTGTGCAATAATTATGTCTGTTTCTTTCATATTAAGACATTTTACGTGCTGTAAGTGTATTGATGCGCCCTCTTTTAGGACATTAGTTAACTACCCATAGGACCCTTCTATCCCTTCAAGTTTTTGCTAGATATTTTTTTTTTTCAGGTAAAGAATTCTTCAATTCCAAGAAAAATATACAAATATTGCAATTTCACATTAAAATAAAAAAATATTGTTTTTTTTAAGAAAGTGACTTAAATCTTAATAAACTTATGATTTTCTGTTTGATTTGATTGTAAATAATGGGTTTATGCAATAACTATGTCTGTTTCCTTCATATTAATTTATATTAATAATTATATTATTACCTATTCAAAATTTTTGTATGTACAAAGTGTGTTAAAAACGGGTATATTGTTAATCGTTTTCGCCAATATTCCGGACTATTTGAAATCGGATTAAAAGAAACGGAGAACTAAATAAAATGGAAATAAACCGCATAAAAATATACTTAACTGTATAAATGAATAAAAAACTCATGAAAATTTCTGTACTAATATTTCATAATTTAATTTATTTTGACATTTTCTATCTCAATTCCGGACTGGTCGAAGACGTACTATTAAACTTCTGGCTTTCTATTTGATTTAGTCGCGAATATTGGTTATATGCAATAATTATGTCTATATAGAAGATTATTTCAATAAAATGTATGTATTCGTATAGTGCGGTTAATCGTTCTCGCCAATATTCCGGACTATTTGAAACCGGATTAAAAAGAAGGAGAACTAAATAAAATGGAAATAAACTGCACAAAAATATACTTCATTGTATAAAGAAAGAAAAAACTAATCAAAGTTTTTGTACTAATTTATAATAATTTAATTCATTTTGAAATATTCAATTTTTTCCGAAATAATTT